GGCCTGGGCCCGTTGGGCGCCTCGGTGGGGGTCATCGCGCAGGCCTGGGGCGCCGCTCTGGGAGATTCCCCCCCCGCAGCCCGCCGCCCTCACCCCAGCTCCTTCTGTGAGCGGAGTTAATGCAGTAGAGGGTGGCTCGCTCTCTGCTTGGGCGAGCAGCGTTCGTCCAGGCGATTTTATTCGCAAATGTCTTAATCAACCTTTTTTCTTTTGCCAGTACAAACATAATAATAAAAACGTGGAATAAACGGGCTGGTAAAATGCATGTGTAATCCGGTTAAGGAGGTGTTTGAATACTGGAGGTTAAAGCTGTCCCACTACTTAAATAATAAGCTAGCTGTGGCTATAGCTACAGCTAAGGCAAATGTAACAAAAATGTTGTTAATATGTGATGTTTTAACTGCTTTTTAAATATTTTTGTTTTCTAGTGAAACGATCAAGAGGCGACAGTCAAGATCAGATAGTGAAAGAGTACATAAACGCAGTTTTCCGTAGAAATCGGTGATAACTGATTGAGAAACAGTTGCACCTCTTGCCTTCTGATTGTCTTTTGCAATAAAATCGCTTTCTAGAGCGTGCTGTCTTCTGTTAAAACCACACAAATAAAGAGGGGTAAGTTTAAAAAAAAAAAAGTATTATGCAGCTGTAAACTCAAGAATTAGTATTTCAGTGTTTAGAGCATGGAGGAGTTAATTTCCTGTTAAGGAACATAATGCTTGACTTAAAGGAACATCACTGTGTGGTTATTTTATTAATAATGACCTTCTTTAACAGGAAAAAATTGCTGCTGGTAATTCATTATAATAAGGACAGTTAGGCTTAATAAAAGGGCATATGCTAAACTTACTAGTATATGCCTGTATTTAGGGGCTTGTTTGTACTTGACTACCTTCTTGGCTTCAGAATGGGCATGGGGATGAAGTGCATAGTTAATCATGAATAACACCAGATGTGGATGCTCTAATTATGGTATATGTTTATCCTGTGTTAGGTTAGCCTAATGTCTTTTCAGAAGTAGTGCTGTGAACTGTTCCCCTGTGTGGACAAGCCTTTAAGGCATTACAAACACTCTCTATTTATTATAATATGTGAATGTGGATCTGACCAGCCAGTATGTAAAACTTTACTTAAATTCTTGCATGGAAATAGGAATTAAAGCTTCAACAATCAAGTGTCTGCCTAGAAGGAAAGACACTGGGTGTAACAAATCAGCAGTGGTGAATTAACAGCTATGTGTGAAAGTGGATGCAAAATATTTTGCAAGTGAAACTGTCTTCTGCATTGATTTATGTTGGTTGGATGACTAGGGGCAAAAGCTTAAAAACGGATATTGGATTTAACAAAGAGGTACACATCATCTGGTTTAGTGATAGCAGTAAAAGGTCATTTGTTGTTGCTAACTCACTGATGGTGAGTGAAATGTATATATGGGAGAGGCAAAAGAACCTTTTTCTGCGCCTAAGAAAAAGTGCAGAGAAAGATCATGTTTACCTTTACTGTACCCTCCTTCTCTCATTTCTCTTGTTCTTTAGCACATAGGAAGTACCACTGCTTGTTTTCTGCTGTGTAATTTCTGGTACAAGTAAATGAACTTTTAATTTGGCTAAAAGAGTAAAAAAACAAGGCATTGTACAAAACATATTGAAGCCCCTGTCTTTGTTGCCTTGTCTTTAACTGTTTTAGAACATGGATCTTCTGAATTACTATATTATATGTAAGTATTTCAAAAATAAGGGTTAGGTATAGGTGACTTAAAAGCTCTCTGCAATTTTCTGGTCTTGGACAGTGGGAAAACTTAATGGACTATTAGAATTTAAGAAAGTGAGATGGCTTCTAGTTATAATCCCATTGGCCATATGTTCTCTTTATCTCTATTGCTTTAGCAGTGACAAGTCAGAACTTAGAAATTTAAGTTCTGAATTAATAACCTTAAAAACGTAAGATAGGGTGAACATCTTTGAAAGTAATTCATCTCAAGATTAAGATTGTTTATCTTCTTGTTCGTTCCCCACATCTTTCTTAGCTGAAGGAGGGCAGTAAACTCAACCTGTGCAGCCGTATTCTTCGAGAAAGGCAGAAGAGAGTTTGAACTATGGCAAGCCAGGTAAGATCATTTGGTCAGAAATTCAGGCTTGCAGTGCCTGAATGGATTCCAGAACCATACTCAGAATTCCTAGTAAATGTAAAGCTGAAATAGCTAGCTTGCTCTGAGTTGGGTGTACTTTTGGTCCTATCGTTTCTTCTGGTAATGTGGTAATTGGTGGCTGTCCTCTGGACACTTGTATCAACTGAAGCAGGTTGGGGGCATAACATTAAGTTTTGCAGTTTGGATTATTTGAGCATGAGTTCTTCTGAAGGACCTTGCACATAACACTCTCTATATAAGGTATATGTAGAGGTGTTCTAGAGGAAGAACATTAAAGCCTGCGTAAGTAAAAAAAGCTGCGAAACACCACTCTTATTTTTGGAAATCCTTGTTCTTCAGATTGTGAGTGATGGAGGCAACCTGTGTTAATACAGCTGTTGTTTCCCTCCTCTTTTGTGTAGTTGACCCACTTCCTTTAAATGTAAACATGGTGGTTTTGGGGGTTTTTGTTTTTTCTTCTTTTTTTTTACCAAGAGGCTCTTTTTATGCCTCTTTCTTCCTGGCCTTGCATCTGGGTTTGAGTTTTCCCTCAGCCAAGCTAGTGCCTGTTCCTGGTCTGCTTTCTCCTTATGTTCCATTAACTGGCCTCCTGTTGTTCCTGGCCTGGGAGAGTGACTCACAGCTGGGTAGTGAGGAGAGGCATCTCACAGAAGAATTCCTGGGTGAGAAGAGATAGGGACAGCTGAGATCCTTCTAGGCAAGAGTGATGATTCCCCGGCCTCTTCATCACTCAGGCTCTATTGCTGCAGGGATTTTTGAGTCCTGGAGCTCAAGTGGAACACAGTCCAGTCCTGAAGCTAATTAACATTTAGGATTGGCCAACATCGAAGGGCTATCTGCTTTTTCCCTAATTCCAAGAGGAAGCTGTCAATCCTTTAGCCAGCTTGACAAGTCAGGGGAATATGGCTGTTCATACAATCCTTTGGCTCTGTTATTTTTGCCAGGCGTTTTCCCCAGAGGCTGCTTTCCCTCATGGGAGGCGGAGGGAGAAATGGGACCCCAGGCTTCTTTCAAGGGCAAGGTGAATATGGGGAAATCACCTGTGGTGATGGGGAGTGGGAGGGAGGAATGTAAATGAGGCTAAATACTATAGAGGTGGGTGTTTTTCTCCCAACAGGACTTAATGGCGAAAAAAAGAGAATGTCTCCAGGCCTACAGCTGGTGGAGAACACCACAGAAGAAACGGAAGAAAAAGAACAAAATAAAACCAGGAAGAATAGAGTTTGTCCCTAGTAGTAGTTCAGCCAGGTAAAGACCTTTTGAATGGAGAAGCTCTGACCTCCTTACCTGTTTAAATTGATAGTGACTAGTGAGTGCCATCACTTATTTTTAGAATCCTGAAATAGCACATCTAGTGCCTGTGCATTAAGTACTGCATATAGAAATAAATTGCCAATAGAGTAATGAAGATTTTTTTTGTAGTTTTTCCTGTAATCACTGAGAAGTAGTGGCAAGATAGCCATAGCTCTTTTGAATCATGGCTGGAACTTGAGTTAATAGTTGTTCTCTATTTTTTGGCCCCCCACCCCCCCTTTCAGACAATAATTGTTTTTTTTAAGAAACAACTTCTAAAAGGTTTTGGGTTGGTTTTTTTTTTTTATAAAATTTGTCTTTTAAATGCTTTTTTTGTGGAAGTAGTAGAATGGACCCAGAGAAATTGAGAACTTAATGCCGAAGTGATGGCATTGCAGTTGTGTACATTACTCAGCAGAGTTTTGCAATTAATAACGCTTCAGACTTTCTGTCTGTATTTGTCCAGTGATAACTACCTGCTTATATGTTATGTACCTTAGTACTGCAATCAACTACCTTATTCTCAAACCTGACAATTGTTCTTTTCCATCTTTCTAAAGACCGGATTATTCAATATTTGTTGGGGAGCTTACTCCAGAAGTAGATGATTTCCAGCTCTATGACTATTTCCTAAAGAGGTACCCCTCATGTATTGACTGCAAAATAGCAACAGACCTGCTGGGATATTCCAGGTAATGCCTGTGAAAATTTGTAATGCTGTCAATATGTTTGCTTCTATAAGTAGTACATAAGAGCTTGTGTCGGAACTGTTTCTGCATTTTCTTCAGAGGCAGGAAGAGACTAGTCTCTAGCATTAATTTATTTTTTTTCAACAGCGCAAATCCTTGTGTTTCTAAAGCTGTCTGGTTAGTTTAAGCAGTTATTGTGCTAAGCTTCATTTTAGCCATCTGCATATCTGGGTGAAAGAAATGAGGTGGTGGGAGAAGGGAGAGCTGTGCGCTGAAATCTGTGCTGCTGTGCTTACATACAGCAGTGTGTCTGCTTAGTCATCTGCAGTACCGGAGACAAAATAATTCCATTTTTACATGTGGGAGAAAAGCATAAGGCCTGGCAAATCTTGGGGGATTGGGAGAGTAAACCTATTAATATGAGTAAATAAAGCCTAGCAGAAGTTACATCGGCCAGGCAGTGAGTCGAGGAGGGATGGGTGAATTTGCTGTTCAAACAATGCTGGCTGTAATAGGCTAATGTGAGAAACTTAAGAGAAAGCAAGTATCAAAAGAATGTTAGTGCTGTACAGTGGTAGGAGTGGGTTAATACTAACTGATAAATTAACTGCTGTAAATGCAGAAATATGGAATTAGATTACTTACGCAGATAGCCATTAAAATGTATTGTTTCACTGGCTCTCGGCAAGTTGCATCTTAATGCTATGAAAGAACAAGCTTTTTGTGTCTGGCCCAAGTTTTAATTTGGTGAAAGCGTCTTCTGTGCATGTGCACATGCCAGAGAGGTTGCTTAGGGAATAAAGCTATAGTAGCTACTATCTTCTGTTTTTGTAGAAGACAGAAATTGAATTCATTAGCTTTGTAACTGTTATGCATACTAGAATTTGTTTTCTCCCTTTTGAAAATTGTAGAGGGTATGCCTTTGTCAGATTTGGTGAGCAAGGTGATCAGATGAGGGCACTGCAAGACTGCCAGAATGCACCAGGTCTGGGGGGAAAACGAATCCGGCTGAGCATAGGAATTTCTAAAAGGTAACAAATGAGTTGTGCATTGATACAGTAATTATAAATAATCAGATTCTTGTAGCTCTGCCTTTGTAAAGTCTGTGGCCCTTGCTAATAATGGCTGTACACATGATGCAGTCTACAAAACTAAAAATACAGAAGCATGATGTTTTGACTCCCTGGGTTCATCAGCCTCTTTCAGGATTGCTGGGGGAATTCAACTCCTGAGTCTAGCCAGATTGTGTAACTTGGGCTTAGCTGCTGTTGTAACCAGCCTTAATTCTTATAATAGCCAAGCTGAATGCATTCATAAATATCTTCCAGGTTTGGGCCTGAAGAAGGTAGAAGGGACAAGTGGGTTTGTATGCTAGGGAGCTTTTCTTCTAGACCTTTCCCTCTAGTTTACGCAAGGTAGCACATTGCTAGTTATACAGTAGGCTGGCAGAGGAAGGAACTCTTTTAAGAGGAAAAATACAGAATATAGGGGAGGAAAAGTCAAAGGAGATGTTACTGGAACAGTTTTAGAGTACTAATCTTTGCTTTTCAAGATATTGGGGCAGCAGGGAATTTTAAAGTTGATTGGTTTTGAGAGGTTTTTTTTACTCTGCTGGCTCAGTTCTCTCAGTTATTTAAGGCAATTCAATCTCTGAACTTTAATACTAAATTTAATAAACTTCGATCCAGGGGAAAAAAACCCCCACTTTATATAAATGAGGTTAGCTTGTATGTTGTACTAAATAGTAAAAATAACAGCTTGTTTCTCTTTACCCTGGATAATTCTGCAACTATTGCCTCTCTGCTTTAGAATGGAAATGCTCCTACCCAAGAGAGCACTGTCCAGAATTGCTCTAAATTATTTTGAAAATAAGAAGAGGTCACAAAGAAACAGGTTTCTTCACTTCTTCTATCCAGAAGAATGTCACCAGTATTCTCAGATTTTTCTTTCCTGCAGAGATATACATAGGAGAGAAGTTGGAAACAAGACAGAGACATTATCTAGTCATCTGTTTACTGCAGTAGCAGGACAATAGAATACTTGTTTATTAGAATGTATGTGTAGCTTCTTTACAGTAATGAAACAAATGTAGGTATTAAAATATACATATCACTAATCTATATCTGTTTCTGAATGGCTGAGTACTATGCTCTCCTAGCACCAAAATATCCAGCCATCAGGGTACTTTGTCATGAAGTCATTTGTATTGGAAAGTCTATCTCTGAGCTCCTTCAGTTTGTGTTCTTGACAAAAAAGCCTAGATCTGACTTTTCTGTAATGAAGCAGAGATGCAGAGAAACTGGACTCTGCAAACACAGGAGGTCTACCTGTACATAATTAGTGAAGAAATGTCTAAGCATTGAGGTTATTTTTTTTTTGAATGTGCAGCTGGATTACCTGAATGTATTTCATGTAGTGTGCCTTCGTTTTAGTATAGACAACACTTGTGCATTGACTCTTGTCATTGGTGTGAAGTTGTCCCTGAGAGAATCTCCTCAGGAGAGGGAAAGTAGTGAAAACCAATCAATTGGCCCTTTGGTCATAAGAACCAATGCGTTTTGTCATTTTCCTACCAATTTGGCTTCATACTGGATAATGGCAGTGCTGACTTCACTGGACAGCTATACTTTTAGCAACTGTTGAATGCTTTGTGGACTAAAAATATAGCAGGTGGAGATAGACATGGCAAACTGGCAGGCAGTGTCAGATGCTCCTCAGATTGACTTCACCCCCTTGTTTCTGGAAATAAGGTTTAGTATTAACCAAAAGATAAAAGGGCTAATTAAGACTGCATCTTTAAAGCAGCTGTGCTCTCTGGTCTTAAACTAGTTTTTAGTGGAGCACAAAGATTTATCAGCAGCTTCCTTATACAGATACTAGAAATATTCAAAATGAATACAGATAAGTGTCATGGCTCAAGTTAATCCATGAAATAATTGCTTTTGGTATTGACAAAGGTGAGAGCATTTGCTTCTGTACGAACATGAGATCTTGTGCTGTGCAGACTGTTGCTTAGGCAACTATTCAGAAGAGCTTCCTCTTAAACTTTTGAAATATGTAAGCTGGCAAATTGTTTACTTTAGAACTGGGTTTACAGTTTATTGTTTGCAAACTATAACTCTACATAACTTCTCATGTTTCAGACTTAAAGCAGAATTCCAGCGGTACCAGTCATACAACTATAATGATTATTACCAAGATTATCAGAACTATTACTCACAGTGGGGTTATGATCCTTATGCTGACTACAACTACAGCTCCTATGCTCCCTATGACAGCATGCAAGCTGTTGGAGACTGCTCTTTAGGAGAGGCTGTTATGGCTCCAGCTGTTTTTGAGGTAAATATATTATATGCTTGCTGTAAAGGAAGAAAAAAAAATATTCACAGAGTAAGTGATAGAAATTGTTTCAGTCAGAGCAAGAAGTCCTAAAATTGAAATCATGCTTTCTCCTTAGTGTGGAGGTTAGAATAGTGGGTTTCATCCAGCAGTATCTTTGATTTAAGTGTTTAAGTTATAGATTTGTACACCATTATTTGTTCACATATGCCAAATCACAGTTCTGACAGCATAATTGTTTTGGCTCCCTCTCTTCCTGTTTTTCTGATTACTTTGCTCCAAATAAATTAAAGAATTATTGGAAGGTGGTCTTATCTTAGATCACCCAATTTATCAATTGCAACTTCCAGAAGTCCCTTCCAATCTGAACTGTACTATGGTTTTCTTAAAAAAGAAAAGGCAGCAAAAAAAACCAAAACAAAACCAACAAATCTTCCCCAACAAAGATGGAAATCCCTTGTCTATTCTTGTATTTGTGGGAGGAGGGAATGGTTTGGGACTACAAAATTATTTTGGATTTGTGAAGCTTTCTGAAATGGATTATGATTAAGCTTAAGACTTTTTTTTTTTATTAGGAAACTGCAGCTATGACTGAAATCAGTGATGACCTAATAACTGAAGGTAATGATGATTCTATCAATGCAACTTGAATTTAGCCATGCTTCTGCCCTTAACAATACAAGCCAATGACTATTGGATGAAGGGTGTCTTGGAAATTCAGCTGATGTAGTGAGATCCTCTATGGGTTATAGCTGAGATGAGGTAGGATTTTAAAGCTGATAGCGTATACCATGTCAAGTAGAATGGGACATTGTCAACAACACTTCATGGTACGTTTCTTGTAACTTTGCCTTCATTCTTGTTCCAATATCATATAATACAGAATTTGTCGTATCTTTGTAGTGATTCTGCTAAGCATATTCTATGTTAAAGTCATTCATAGGCAAAAGCTTCATTTTCCAAACCGTGAGGTAAAAGTTCGTTGCAGTCTTAAAAGGAGGATTCAACTTGCACTGAAAGATTTGGTACAAAACTGAATTGTTTTGCCCAGAAGGTTTGCTGACAGTTCCTTCTGTAGAGATATCTTGTGTTAGTGTTCAGAAACTTTATTCTGCATATCACATATTGTAGTAGAAATTAATTACATGGATTTTGGGAGAGTTTCATGGTTAATTATCCTTAAATCTGCTCTTCATCCTGAAAAACCAATATACTTCTAGCATTCTAATACACAAATTCCAAAAGAACCTGGACTTGTCAGGTTTGAAATTGTAGGTGAATAAAGATCTTACTACACTTACTATTAAATCTATTAAATTTAGTTAAGACATATCTTATTAGGCATTTACTGCAGACTTTTGTATGCATGCCTCCCAAGATCTGACACTTGTACTTACCAGGCTTTTGTTTTCAGATCCACAGCTTTACTTTGATGTTGATGAAATGAACAGACAATTTATGGAGACAAGTGAAGAACTCTATGATTCCCTCATGAATTGTCACTGGCAACCTCTGGATACGGTCACTTCTGACATCCCCCCTGCTATTTAAGTGTCTTATATAGCATGACCGTTATGACCAAGGTGCTAAAATTACATTTCTTCTACATTACTCTAGATCATAAGTTTTAAAGCACAATGATAGGTTGGGTTTTTTTGCTATGCTTTTGACAGTTTCTGTAACTTTTTTTTTTGATCATCACTCTACTCTTGGAGCATCTTGAAATCATGTAAATATTCTAGAAATGTAAAGAGTTCAATGGGGTCTAAAGATAGACTTGCCTGTGTAAATAAAATTTTGTTTCTGCAAACCTGCCAGCAAGGGATTTTACTTGCATATGTGAAGCACATTCTCTTCTGGCTTGTGGAATTTAGCTGGAGGCAGTAGGGGTATTTAATCTCTTTGGTATGGGCATCAGGACACTAGCAAAAACTAGCTCTCACGGATACCCAAGTTACCTAGGCAATCTTTTACAAGCTCTTGGCATGCTTGCTTTGATTATCTGTGTATTTGGGAGACATTTCTGGGGTTTGCTATGGGAACACTTGGGCGCACTCTTTCTCCTGCAGTCTGCTGGTGCTAACTCTACTACTGTTGATATGTTAGGTCAGCTTGAATTGCTTTATCAATACAATATTTTTAAACATACAGAAGGGCAAACTTTCACCTGCGATAGCTGCAAACATTCCAAAGACTAAGGATGATACCTACTGACAATTTTATTCCTGCCCTTATTGTTAGTCTTCTCAACTGACACTTTACAGCAAAGAAACAGGTGTAACATAATAGATGTTCTTAAACCTAAAAATCCTTGGAGAAAATAACTTTATGGTTTAAAGGAGGAAAAAATAACCCATCAGGAACAAAAAACTGTCCTAGTAACAACTCTTCAACTAAATTGTGCCCTATCTTAAACATCTCTAATTTGTTCAGTCTTCATGCTCAGGTGTTTTCTAGTGGTGAGGTTATAAAATCTTAGTACGATGACAGTTTTCAGTATTCAGGTTCAAAGGAGACTAGGAGAGATGGCAATGAGGAAAGTTCTGCTTTAAGCTAGCAACTTCTGAGTGCCTTCCTCTAAACTGTTCTCATCTTGAAGGGTATAAAGTATTCTTCAGTCATAGGGACTACTGAAGCCCATGTGTATGCAGAAGTATTTACTACTTAATGTACATAGTGATCAAACAAGTTAGGCTGGAAACAAGAATACTCTTCCAAGAAAAAAGTAGCAGAAATTATTGTAGCTAATAGCTGTGGAAACTACTAAAGCTAGTTGGAACACTTTGGTGCTGCCATGTGTGTTTTGGGGGCAATCTAAACCATAATTTCTGTGATGGCAGAAAGGAATAAAGTTCTCTGGCTTTTTTATGACTTAATGTAATTAAAATGGTGGTCATAACCTATATGCTGTTCTTCAATTTAAAACAACTACTGTATTGTAGAGTGGGGACCCAGCACTGGCATGTCACTTCTAGCTGCTGACCAGAATCTCCCTCTCTTCACGGTTTAATTTCAGCTAGGAGTATTTTCAAAGTCCTGCTAATGAAATGCAGATGCTCTAAACCAGAAAAGGCTTTTGGAGTAATGTAGGAAGTTCATTCTTCTGGATTTTATGCAGAGGTACATGTAGAAGAGACAGAAAGTAAAGCCCCTCATCTTGGCAGGGGGAGTAGCATCATAGTTTTAGCAACTGTTTCCCTGCTTTGGGGGGAGCTAGTTGCAGGGTAGCTGGGAACATGGATTTCTTGGGTGAATGTTTCACTTGTTTGAACTGGTGAGTCTTCAGATGGTGATGGTAGGGAGATTATTAACAAGAATGTGACAAAGTGGAGTAAATAAAGCAAAGAATATCTGGTTGGGAAAGGGGGTACTTGTGTGCATGTCTAGAATTGTTTCAGGGGACTGCAGCAGGGAGGAAACTCAAGCTACTAGATACAGGCCCCTTGAATTTGGATGGGAGTGTTAAAGCTTCAAAACTGTATGGGATTTGATGCCACTTCAATTGTAGCGCATAGTTGTGGTGCTTGAGCTTGGTAGTACAAACTTGTCTGCTGAGCCAAGGATTTTCTGTCTAGCAAGTACCATTACCACGGGCAGCAAGACAGCTTCCAGATCTGTGCCTGGGTTATATCTTGCTTTGAAGTGGTTTGCATAGCTTTACCTAACACCATACTTAAGTTGCAGCAGGTAACTTGTGGAAACCTTTTATTGTGTTACCAGTTAAAAATGTGATCTGTATCTATGCAGATCTTTGGTGTTTGGGAGGTTGATCTATGTGTGACCTATGTAATGAGGGGGCTGTGTAGCTACATTGTTTCACTTAGTCTGACACTGTAACACCACAGTATGTAAACCTTAAAAAAGCCGGAGTGTGTAGCCACCCCATTTATGCAGATTTTTACCTGTTAATGTCTCTACAGTCTGCGTTAGAGGCTGTTTTCAGACATGCGTGCACCTTCTGTTCTGGGCTGTAAAGTGCCCATATAGCAAAAGCACTGTTTATGTAATGTCGTGGAAGAGGTTGTTTGGGCCTCTGGTTCTCCAAACCTGAGAAATGTTGGGGGTGTATTTTCTTCCAGTCAACAGACAAGAAAAATAAGGGAAGAAAGAGAGTGTGTTGGTTGCAGCCCATGTGACACTGTTCTAAAATAGTTCTCTGACCTCTTTTTCTGCCTCCTGAGCCTTAGGAGCCAATTCCTCTTTCCAGTTAGGAGTGTATATGTGAGATGATGGTGGTTTTTTACTGTGAAAGCATACTGAATGCAGAATTTCTTCCTGCATTGGTGTGTTGCCCATGAAGGCCAAATACAGGAGAACTGTGCATCAGAACTGTTAGAATGCATTGCTGAGGCTTTTTACTGATTAAACTTACAGCTATTCTGCAGCTCCCAGCCTGTATTAGCTAGCTTAAGCAAAGACCTGAACACATCACGCACATCTTGCAGGTGCCTGCCATCAGTTCTACAAAGATCTGATTGCAGTGGGAGCATTTAATAAAAAAAAAAAAAGGTTTTAGAAACAACTTTTCCGACACCACTATATTTCACTTATTCCAGTTGTTTTGTCTGTTTTACCCAGCTGAAGTGTAGTTGTTTGGGTTTGGGTTTTTTTTAAGCTTGATGAAGGTTTGGTGTTCTACTGTTTTTGGTTTTTTTTTTTGAAAGAGTATCTAGTATTGGTTTTATAAACTCTTCATTGCACCTCACTGCAATAGATAGTGCCTTTACTCAAAACCCACTAATTTCTTCAAGAGTAGTAGTGATTTTGTTTTCTATCACCTCTCTGAACAGAAAAGCTTTAGTAGGATGGTTTGAGGGGCTACTAATCCTGCAGTCAGTGAACAAGGAGAAAGAAAGGGGCCAAAAAGGGTAGAGAGTACTTAAAAGGGTACAAAAAGGTTAAATGGTACTTAAGCCATGCATGTTTCTTTTTGCAGGGATGCTCTTGGACCAACAGCTTCTTTCTAGCGCTACCTCAAAATAACTTGCAGATATAACTCACAGGGAAGATTGATCAAATGGTGATGATCCCTATCATTCTGCTGGAGATATATATATTTGCCTTTTGTTTTGTTTCACTTTTAATAACATTTATTTAACTTCAGTGACTCATGTCAATAGACATTGTTTGACTACATTGACAAGTATTTCTGAGTCATGAGTGTCATTAAAGGCATGTCACCATATGGAAATTGTTCTAAATAAGTAAAATGGAAGTAAAATAAATAAAGCAGCACTTGAATTTACAGAGCAAACATAGTGTAGCTGCCTTTGAGACATATGTGGAAGAGAAAATCATGTTTACAGGCTACCTTAATATACTTAACATGCATCAGAAAGAGGGGATCTTGTTTTAAGTTTGCCCAGCTCTTACATGTCCGGTGCAGGAGTAATTTTAGTCAGTTCCCCATGCAGGTACCATTTCAGAAGTCAGCATTATTACTGAAGAGCGCCTGTTACTAAAGGGCACAGTTTATATGCCTTTGTAAATCTTGCTCTTCCTGTAATGGAAACCCATCACAATACCCTTCCTTCCCCTCCCCTAAGTTGGAATTCAGCATGATAATTGTTTCCTGGACAAAGAGAGTTACAAATCTGGGTGAAAATACTGTTTTTCCTGTATTTTGATGATTATATTGATGCAGATCTTTTTTGACAAGCATGTTGTAGAAATAGAGCCTCACCCTACAATTGGTCTGCAGATGTGAGACACCAGCAGTTTACACGAGATGAGGTGGGTGGTTCTTGCAGGTGACTTGTAAACCCATGTGCTCCATGTCCTGGAAGGGATCATCTATCACTGCAAGTCCTCCCACTGCGCGTAAAATTCTATCTATGAGGGTAGGGTAAGAGAGGAAGAGACTGTGGAGTCCTGAATGTGCCATTCATGAGGAGAAACATCTAGAAATCAATTCTACTCTGCTGGGATTTCGGAAAAGGTTATCTGCTTTAGATAACGTTGAAAGCACAACTAAGAAATTGAGAAGGACCAAGTCATGTAGGAGAGCTGGGAAGATACCCATGAGATTTTAAAAAGCCAGTATAAACAATGACTGGGCAGTACAATACTCCCAGTAAAATTCCTTCTAAAAGCAGTTCCTTCTCTGCTGTTGCTGCTGGTTTGCATTTCTTTGGGCCTTTGGAATCGACCCTCCTGGTTTGAGTTCCCCCAAACCCCTGTGTTTGGTACGCTCTTTCTTCAGGTATGTGCTGTGACACGTGCTTTTATTTTTGGTGGAATGGGTGTGTGCTACATCACAGCTCTGTCACTGTCAAATACCTGCATCTCATGCTGTATCAGTAATTTTTTAGTACATTGGGTTTTTTTAGGGTAAACATTTTTAGTGACTTCTATGCAGGGAAAAGGTGGTGGTGATTTTATGCGCTGCTCCATCATTCCCAGAGCAGATCAATGCAGATTTTTCTCAACTTAACTTTTAGTAGAATAAAAAAAAATCGAAACAAATACATTTTTTTAAAATTTGTAATAGAAATTACTCTTTGAGGAAGAAAAAGCTGCGTCGAAGCTTTTTTTTTTCCCCAATCCCGCTTCCACTCTGCCAAAAATGAGCGATGGTAAACCCGCAGACTGTCGTTCCAATTGCTCGCGCGCACCCCATTTACAGCGGTGTCCCGAGGGGAGGCCGCGCGCCTCCCCGTGCCGCTCT